ATTTATCTATTTTATCAATATAATTGGGTTTAAAAATTTTCAAATAGGTGGCAACCCTGCAATTTTTTGCGATATCATTGGTTCTGGTATTATACCGAACAATACAAAAAAAAAAAATTATTCAAATCGGTTCAGCCGTTCTCGAGTTTTAACGACCGTGACATACGAACACAACATTTTTATATATGTACATATATAGATATAGATTGCGAGAGGACGATTAGGTTGGTAAAAGTAGACCGACCACTAACGAATCCATGTTGATAAGGACTAATTACATTTTTAACTGCAAATATAATTTATCCTTGATAGATAATTCAAAAAGCTTTGATATTGTAGTAGCTTTAGAGATTGGTCTATAATTTAAAATAATATTTTTGTTCCCACTCTTATGTATAGGAGTAACAAATAATATTTTGAATTGATCAGGAAATACCCCCATAGATAGGGATTTATTGAAGATCAAAGTAATAAGTGCAGATAAGGAACATTCACACATTTTAATTAGGAAACTAGATAAACCATCATTATCCAGCTTTGTAGATATTTTGTGTGCTCTAATACTGGAAATAACGTCATCCACATTTAGTCTTAATGCGCCGAAATCTATGTATGAATAAATTTCATCGTCCAACACGTATACATCTTTATCAAAATTAGAGACATTGTCACATGAATATATGATATAGGTTTTTTTGATTTTATGAAGCTCCAAAACGTGTTTGGGTTGCTCTTCATGTTACTCGGAATGGGCTCAGTGAAGATTTTCTTTAAATTAGTTAAGAAGATACGATAGCAATCGGCCTGACTAAGTAGTTCTTTCCAATTAACAGCATTTAATGCGTTATTTAGAAGTTCCGGGTCACATAAATTGTAATTAAAATCTGGGCCACAACTAGCTGTGGAATAGGAATGAAAATTATAAAAGTTTATTTGTAGGACTAGCGGTAAGTGATTCATATCTGGCTCAGAAACTGGGAAATCACATTCAGTCATGTGGAAATCAAAATTATTACTGACAAAGATTAGATCTAGTATTCTAGGTAGCTTATTTAAATAAGAATTAATTTGTACGAAGTCCGCACCGAGAAGACTATCAATTATGTAAATTAGGTGTGATTTATTGACATTACAGGCCATAAGAGAACTATTATTATGTACCATAGACCATATTTAGATTGAAATCGCCAAGAACGTATAGAAGACTCTCACTGACTGAACCGACTGAAACTGAAATATTACTTATATTGTCCACCTGCGCAGCATATACCTTATCAAAACTAAGTTGCGGAATATAGGACGCACATATATACAGTAGATTAGTATCTCCACGTATAGTTACACATAACTGGTCAAGTATAGTATCGGCGCACATAGGGGTATTTCATTAATCTGGCCGCTCAAAACCCCATTTCCCAAAACTGGCCCGAATTCAACAAAATTTTATTTTTAGTACGCCAAGACTAATGCATTATTTTCGATAATAATTTATTTTCATGATTAAAATACCAAGTTTCTACAGCCAATGTAAACTTAGCAAATTCGTGCATAGCTTACGAAAATTTGAAACGTTCTCAGTATAGATGCATTTTAAATAAAATTTTTTACAGTTTTAGGCAAAGTTTTTGAAAATAAAGCCATGGATTCTTATGGAGCAAGCAACTGGGTGCCATCTTTATGTATTTTAAATTTTAATTAGTCATTAATGCGTTCTTTATTCAAATTTTAAAAGTGATATTCTGAAACTAAATTTTTTCCAAGTGTTTTTTCCAAAAACGTTTTTGTTCTAGTGACCGGCTTTGCCTGGCATTGATTCTACTTTTTTTATAGCTTGTGTGCCGAGTTTCCAGATAAGAAGATTGATCCCGCTTTTTTAAAATTTGGTCATTTTAAGCTACATACATATTTAGATAAATCTACGATATTTCAGTAAATATTGTCTCCAAATAGTTAAAAATTTGTATGTGGTGAAAAATAAGATTATGAAACTTTTTTTTTTTTAAATGGCCCACTTACGTTGAAATTCTGTATCTCAGTAGCCGCTTCACTAATCCCTACCAAACCCGGTAAGGGCCTTTCTTAGGGTATATCTAACAAATCTGTTGAAACTCTTTGAAATCGGGCAATAACCACGCCCACCTACCATATAACGGTAGATAATTTACAGAAACACGAAAACTGCGATAAATCAGTAACTACTGGAGCTAATTCACTCAAAATCGATGCTTGGAATAAAGTCTTAGCATTAAAATTGATTATTACAAATTTTTGGATAATGGGCGTGGCGCCGCCCACTAATGACCACTGTAGTATCACAATTCCAATTAATAATCGTTATTGGAATTGTAGGATTGTTCTTTTTTTAAAAATGAAAAATATTTTATTTTAATAACCAGAATATTCTTTATGAAATTTTACAATGAATATCAAAAATTTTCTTCTTCAAAGAAATCACAACATAACATTCTAATATTCTTTAAAATAAAAATTAATACAAAGTAGGAATAAGTAAAAAGTAGAACCATTTCAAAACAAATAAATAACAACAATAAGATCCCTGCATTACTTCCCTTCCAGAGAATTTACGTTAAATAAATTAAATGTGACTTTCTTTTTTGTTCCAATATTGTTGTAATAATAAGTGTTAGATTCTGGTAAAGTTTCAATCATCGCTGGTTTTAACCTGTGAATCGGAATAGTTTTTATTTCATTATCAATTTCTACTTGAAAATACTTCTTGTTCTTTTCAATAACCTTATATGGCCCTTCATAAGGTTGTTGTAAAGAACGGTTGTTAACTAAACCATGATAAAAATATAGTAAGGTAGAACCGCTGAGAGTTACTTTTAAAATTCTTGACGTTTCCAAACATATTAATGTTTAAATTTACTCTCAAACTCACACACATATTTTCATTTTCAATCTCAAGCAACAACAATTTCGAACAATTTCAATTTTTCATATTAAAATGCTGGCAAACTTCAAAAAAAAAATCATGGCCGACAAATTGAGAGAACGGTTCTACCTTGCTATGTTTTTATCATGAACTAAAAGTACAAAAACAAATTTGCATGTTTGTAAATCATTCGGAACGTAAATATGATTTAGAAGTAAATTGAGTACCCTGATCTGTTGTTATTTCTAACGGTACACCAAAACGAGGAATATATTCACGTAAAAATTTATTCACAATTGTCACTGCAGAAATATCTCTTAATCCGTATGCATTAAGCCAACGAGTAAACCTATCAACTATAGTTAAAATATATCGATGTCCTTTTGAAATGGGTAAAGGTCCTACAATATCTAAATGAATGTGCTCGAATATTTTCTTCGGTATTGGAATTTTACTCACTTAAGACTTTGTATGCCGATAAACTTTAGATTTTTGGCAACTGATACATTCTCTTGGCCATGCTTTAATTTCTCTATTCATGTTGGGCCAAAAATACTTTTTGATGATTAATCGACGAGTAGCTTTGGTACCCGGATGCGCTATCACATGTAACTTATTAAATACTGTTTTTCGTAAACTATTTGGGACGAATGTTTTAGGATAATCTCCTGACGATTCGCACCAGATATTGAAATTTAAAAGAGGAATTTTTACTAGCTTAGGATTTCGAAATGTTTGTCCAGATACAAGGTTGTCATTATCTTGTTGTTCACTTTGTAAAATTTTGAAATTATTCTGAATTCCTTATCGCTTCAACTTCAAAAGCTCGAGATTAAGTATCAGCCACAACATTTGATTCACCTCTAATGTACTGTATATCATTCGTAAATTGTGCGATAAACTCAAGATGCCTTGCTTTCCTTGGACTACCTTCAGTTTTGGAATTTAGAGCAAATATCAAGGGCCTATGATCCGTAAAAATAGTAAATTGTCGTCCTTCTAATAAATACCGAAAATGTTTAATTTTTGCTATTTTATGGCCTTATAACAATTATGTTCAACAATTTTTAATGCGCTTGAGGCCGTTTTTAATGAAAAATTTATTGTGGAAAAGCAACAATAATGTGAAAAAATGGTATAAGTGATAGTTACTTCGGAAATCACCACATTTCCTCATCAGACTTCTTTCAGTAGACTTCGAACCGACGGTCCCACTGACTCAGCCAGTTGCCTATGCACTGTGCTAAGTTCGCCTTGTAAATTATCGTTGCTTTTTTCCACTTTTTAATTTTTTTGTTATGCCAACACAATCAAGCGCAGCTATTCCGCTGCAATTCACTAGATCATGAGGAACAAAATATTGCCCCGTGAAATATGCAACACCCGAATTTCAACAAAACTCCATAGCTGAATTGCTGAATAAGTTAAAACGTTACCAAGGTAAATAGAATTGCGGTTGCAAGAAGTGGTGACAATTGTTGGTAACAAAATTAGCTTGTTACAAAATGTTTGGTTACAAGCAGAATAGGCCTGTTAGTGTTTAATTATTGTTAGAGCCGGGTAACGGAAATATATCGGAAAAAATTTAAAACTTGTGTTTTAATTAGTTTTCCAAAAACATTAGACCTCGAGCCAGCACAACTAACAAACTTATTTAAAAACTAGTAATTTTTAAGCAAAAAATAAAAAACCGACTTCAATTATCATATAAAAATTCAAGAGCACCGTTAATTTCTTCATGATTCAATGATTGGATATAAAACAAATTAGTATGAGACCACCTCAGTTTCCTTTAAAAAAGTAATTATAGAAATCGGTTAACGTAGTCCAAAATTATGCGGTATCATACATAAAAAAACAATTTAAATATTCACATATTTTTGAAGTCGGTTAAAAAGTAGCCGAAGTTTTTTTTATTAAAAATTTATTTATCGAGCGCTAACTTAAAATGGATATATAGGGCTGAAATTTTTCTACAATTATTTTTCGTGACCGACAGTGAAATTTTCATATAGGACCGAAAAAAACAAAACATTCGTTTTATTTGACACACAGTATACTATGTAGGTATTTTAAGGGTTCACAGCATTAGTAAAAAACTTACCTGAATGTACTGAAGGAAAAATCGATAAAGTCACGAAAAAAGTACAGAACACATTGTATAGTTGCAAAGATGTTTTTTTGAAAATATCCCAATATGGTATAGCAGCGGTTTTATGTTTCTCAGGTTCATCGTCTGACTTTCCCGAAAGCTGATTGTATCTGTAGAATTTCTGAAAATTAATAACGATTTAATTAATACCACTAATATGGTTATGAATTATAATAAAACAACTGATATATATGCAGATTTATATTTTCCCTGAGACACGGAGATATTTCATCAAGAGGCAAAAATCATTCCAAAGTCAAGGGTAGGACATTTGCATAGCAAAGTTTTTATTTTTGCAGGAAACTTTTTAGGCGGCGGTATCGCAAAAATGGAGAGTGAAGTGCAATTCTGTATAGAATCGGTATTGGGTACCGAAATCTTTCTGAAGTATTCAATACCGAATATTGGGTACCGGCAATTCAGCACATCACTAGGCTCTTGCGTCCTCGTTCGCGCACTCTGGGCAACGTGAGCAACCCACGTGAGAGATGCGGTAACCAATCGAGTGGAACCTTGGGTCACGACAGAAAGAGAGGGAGCTTCGGTGGGGCCACTCCGACTTATTCGGTTTAGGGGCTCACTGAACTCTGCAGCGTCTGTTCACCAGTAGGTGCGGCTGCAAGCGGGTGTCTGTCTTGGAGCAAACGGCTCGCTATATAAACGAAAATGCGAATTCGAATTTTGAGAATGCGAATGCGAATGCAAATGTTAGGAATAACATTAGAAATGCTATAATGAACTTAAGTCATCGTTTTTATTACTTAAAAATGTTGTAAATTATTAGAACATTGAGCGAGTGCTTAACCTATAAAGTGTTTTAAGCCCAAAATACAATAACGCAGTGGCAGTGGCAGCGCCAGTTTTTCGAAATCAGCTGTTTTTTAGAAAGTGTGGTGTCCAATGAAGCGACTCAAAATACAGCAGTGGCAGCTAGCAGTACTGCTCAGTTTAGCCCAAATTCTAAATTCACTGCCACTGCCTTCATCGCAGCAAACTTCGCATGCTGAATTTGACATAAATGAAACGCAGCCAACATCTGTTGATGTCACTGAAGCCTAAAAGGCAACAACAAAAATGTAAACAAACAAAAGGGAATGTCAAAAAAAGCAGTCACTGACAACGCCGTATTGTGTTTGCTGCGGCATTGACTGCCAATATTAGCAGTAACAGCTGATTTTAAAAACTGTCACTGCCACTGCCACTGCGCTATTGTGTTTTGGCCTTTAATCTAGTAGTCAAAGTTCAAAGGGACATATCATATTTAAAAAAAAATTAATTTTGCTGCGTTTTCTCCGATGAGGCGATTTCTTAGAGACTCGTATAAGGCCGGCTGCACTGAACAGTTGCTCACGTGGAATGCTGGCGGGTGGAGCGCTCAAAAATTTGCGGGCCAGATCTGTAAATTTTTCGTATTTTATTTTAGTTTTCCAACAATGGAGAGGATTTTCACCGAGATGAGCCCGTTTTTCTTTAAGATAGGCCTTCAATTGAGCTTTAATTTCACATTTTTTAATGTCTCCAGACTCTACATCTGAGCCTTTGCCTTCGCTGGAGGAATCTAGAATTATTTCTAGGTTGCTTATAAGACTTTTAGCAGTACTTGTTGAAGACCCATTAATGTTGCTTGATACACAAGAATGATAGAATATAAGATTGCGCCAATCGAGCTGAGAGCAACTGAACTGTGACGTCACATTATGAGAATGAGAGTGTAAAGAATAATTTTGAAGAAAAAGAGGAAGAAGCGAACAAGTAGTGCGAAATAGTGATGTAAAACTAGGTCGAATTCTACCTACTCTTCAGCTTTTAAATTTGAACGTACATTCGGTACAAGCTTATTGTTTTAGGTATATTTGGAACGCAGTAAAATGTTATTTCATGTAAGTCAAAAATTTGTTATGGTACAGAAGAAAGATGTAGCCCACCAACTATAAAAAATAGATGCACATAAAAATACATGTTTACTGTTTAGGTACGTGTATCTACTTTTAGGTACAACTTTCCGGCAAATAGGTACAATATGAAAATTTAATATTCATCGTTTGTGCGAAAAAATAATAATGTGACGTCAGCGAAAGGGTGGATGCAGTCAAATCGAGAAAGAGGGGATTAGCGGTCCGCGGAAGGCGCCACCTTTGTTTCGCTGCATCGTGGCTTGATATACTACTTAACCGTTTAACGCCTGAAGCTAAAAGCCGGTTATTCTCCGCACCCTGGTTAGACAGACTTAGAGCCATTTTAAAAATATTAGAGTGGACTCTCTCCCCATGTACACATTCGCATTCGCAAAACATTCGTATCATTTGATGCGAATGCGAATGTGTAAAATGATCCGAATCATTCGCATAACAATGCGAATGCAAATATTCGCAACATCCCTGACCATATCGACTTTCGTTGATATATTCTGATGAACATATGTGAGGATGATAGCAAGGCGAACTCATATAAGGTAGTGTTACATGAGCAGTTGAAATTTTCGCCCCGGTGTTTCTTAAATAAAGTCATAAACGTAAAGACCGTTGATTCAACTTGGTGATGATTTGCTCTAGATTGCACCGTTTGTGGGCCTGTTGAATGAATTTGTGTCTTGGTTGTATGAAAAATGAGATTTTACAATGAGACTGCTCGCAAAATTGCAATGTTTGTGGACAAACGGTTCAACTTAATTGCAGATCGATCTGAACGAACTGTCGCAACGTTTAAGGCTTGCATTATGTCAAAATGATGTGTTTTTTGTAATTCATACTGCCATTTACTACCATTTCATGCGCTTGAGTAGAAACTGAGTGCATGAACACAATTTCATGATTTCAGTTATACGCGAAATGGAGTTTATGCACTGAGTTTTTACTCAGATCCATGAAATGATTTCGTGAATAGGACTACACAATAACGTGATAATTGTGCGTATAATTTATAAGGTAATTTTATGTTTTTATACTCTTGCTACCACATGAATATATGAATTCGTGGTAAGAGTATGAATTCGCCTTGGAAGATAGAAAGCGAGTAAGAAGAAATGCGGAACAAAGGAATTTGTCTTCTTTCAACTTAAATAAATGCATTTTGAAAACAAAAGTGCGTACGTTACTTAGTGCCTTGGTTATATTGCACGGGGAGAATCGTAACAAATCGCGGCGAATTCGTAAGAATCTATTGATTGCATCAAGGCGAATTTATACAAGGTGGTGTTGTCCAATCTGCTGATTTCTTCTTCTTTACTTCGCCTTACATGTATTTTGTTTTTGCTTTTACTGATTTGACAGCATGCCCCTGAATAGCAAAAACAAAATACATATGTATAAACTTTGAGGCGAATTGAAATTT